GTTTATTTGTCACTTTGTTGTTTGCGTGACTGTACTATTGTAATGCATGGGGGTTCCTGAATAATGGCTGCTTTTGTGTCTACCATTGTTTTCAATATTCATTTTTCTTGATTTTTTGTCTCCATATTTAACTACTTGCTTCCTTTTACTGAAGTAGTTTTCAAACCATTTGATTTCGTCGTATTTTAACCAATAGTTGTATAATCTTTCCAACAACAGGGCGTAATTTACGGTAACAAAACAATTTGAGTAATTAGTTTGGTAATTAGTTTGTTTGAATGGAGCCAGTGAGATTTTTACCCTTCAGGAAATTGCTTCGTTATTAACCACTTTTGACCAACACAATGCCTGGCAAACAACAATTACAAAAACAAGGTAATTATGATTTTTATTACTTGACATCAATCTAGTTTTTAAAAATGTTATATCTTCTTCTTAGAATATGATAGGTACAACATTTTGAAGTGGGGCACCTCAGTTTTATAGTATAATTACCATACGGTATTAAATATTAATTACAAAAAAAAAGTGTTTGTGCCTCCAACCATTATAATTGTAGCCCAGCAGTTTATTTTTTTGAATTTTTTCCCCCAAAATGCCTTGGGGACATTCATGATGTCTGACCGCCGGTTGCATGGTCGCGCTCTGTTTCCCCCCCCCCCCCCCCCCCCTCCCCCCACCAAGGTTTGGGCCTGCGGAACGAGACTTTCTGATTTTGCAATTCACCCACACACCCACTTTTTACAACGGATCGACGCCCTTGGCTGTATTGAAGTACAATTTATTAACATATTTTCGTTTAAAGTGTATGCAGGTTTTGAGAGTAAATCTATATTAGAACTAACTGATATCGTTATACGTATTTAGTGTTGTGTTCCCACGTTAGATTTCCATATATTTCTAGTCCAAGGTACGGTATCGTAATTGGACATTTTCAATAGACTGATATCCAATATGGATAATTAAATTATGGGAAGGAACAACGTGTTTGTTTTTTATTAAAGCATACTTTTAGTTTTTTTTCAGTGTTCATTTTTAATTTGTTCATCGTATCATTCTTGTTTATTATTCATTATATGTTGAAAATTTTTTTATTTATTTCAGGAATAGTTTTTCCTGAAGCATACAACAACATCGTCCACGTTTCTTCATCTGCACACTTTATTATACCTCGTTACAACAGGAGACTTGGAGGTTTTTCATTTCCTCGTTATGCTTCTAAACTTTGAAATAATAATTCAGCTGACATTTGAGATATCTCAGATCATATTCGTTTTAACGTGCACTCAAGGATTAGTTGTTTGCCTAGCCTCTTTTTGATCCTTTTTCCTTTTGTGTTTTTATTGTTGTAATCTGTTTATTTGTCACTTTGTTGTTTGCGTGACTGTACTATTGTAATGCATGGGGGTTTCTGAATAATGGCTGCTTTTGTGTCTACCATTGTTTTCAATATTCATTTTTCTTGATTTTTTTGTCTCTATATTTAACTACTTGCTTCCTTTTACTGAAGTAGTTTTCAAACCATTTGATTTCGTCGTATTTTAACCCATAGTTGTATAATCTTTCCAACAACAGGGCGTAATTTACGGTAACAAAACAATTTGAGTAATTTGTTTGGTAATTAGTTTGTTTGAATGGGGCCAGTGAGTTATTGCGTAAGGTTTTGTGACAATTTTAGTAGGCATTGATATTATTAATATAGGAATCAGAGATATGAAGAATAGTGTCATCGGCGTACATTTCAGTGATAGAATAGTGATACATATGCTGATGAAATTTTTAACAGTTTGCTATCAAAATCAATTAGGTCATTTTTACTACTGTCAGATAAGTGCTTCTTCAAATTCATGTTTTCAAATACATAATATGTTAACTGAATGCAGATATTATCTGCATTCAAGTTTTTCCCAGTTAGTTTTTGGTTTTAATCGAATGCTTCTGATATTCTCTTTCCTATGCTTGCGATAAGTATATTTTTGTTTCCTTTATCATTATTTTTTATCCATGCTGCATCTATTTCTTCAAAGTTTATATTGATTTTTTTTTCAGTGAACAAATGGGATTAATTCCTTTACAATGATTATTCCTCCATATAAGTCAGACTTTCATATTCTAAAATAACCTAGGCGTTGATTTTTAACTTCTATTTTCGGGAGGTGTAAGTTGGTAAGACTGTAAACTATTTTTTATTAAGTTGATTGCTTTATTTTACTTGAATTTGGCTCCTAACTGTGAAAATAGGACAGACAAAACAGAAAATCATTTAAAAAATAAGACGTGAAAACTAACCCATGAACTATCCTCAAACTCATCAGAAACAATTTCAAAGAATAAAATTTAAACCAGAACACCCCACCCTTCTCCAACAATTTGAGACACATGTGGAACAGTACTCACAAGTGCTCTAGTAATACTCCATGGTAACTAAGCCTTCTGGAGTTGCATGTATATCATTAAAGCTGAAATCTTTAATAATTAATTGAAATATTTGTAATTTATTGAAAAACACACTACATTCTCGAACACAGCGTGGGCTTAAGATGGGTCGGAGGGCCGAAGTATATTCTTTACGTAACACTGAGTACCACAAGGAAAATGTGAAAAATTGTGTGCTTGAATAACCTTTAAGGCCTGTTTATACTTCAACAAATAACGATAACAATAAAAATAAAAGCTAAAGAGCAATTGTTCATATAGAAAATAAAAGAAATAAGAAAAGTTTATACACTAGAAAGATTCGATAACGATTTATCAGATATGCGATAACAACACATTTTGACAACTCAAATCAGATGACGTCATAATCATGGAAAAACATTAAAATCGTAGTAGTAGCAACGATTTTATCGTTTTACCATGATTATGACGTCATCTGATTTGGTATGTTAAAATATTTTATCGTATACACGATAAATCGTTTTCGAATCGTCCTAGTGAAAATCCTCTCTTATTTCTTTTGTTTTCTATATGAACAATCGCTTTTTAGCTTTTTTATCGTTATCGTTGAAGTATAAACAGGCCTTTATTCTCTACTTTTATACCACTTTATGCTCTGTATAATCAGTACCGATTGACCTGTGTCCTCTAATGCTACTTTACAGAAGGGCACAGTCTAAGAAATGGTCGGCTGCGTTCCATTGAGATCAATGAAATGGTTAAGTCTTCAAATCTATTTCTTTAATTCTAATCAAGGCCAATACATGTTACGCATCTAACTGGCTATTATAGTTAAATACAGTTTTGAGGATGAATAATTTACCACATACCAGCGATCACGCATTTCAGCAAGAATAGAAAAGTAACATCGGGTTCATATTTAAACAACTAAGGTAAGTTAAAAGCAAACGTATGTATGTGGGGTCTGTGTGTATGTGTATTTATGCATATATGTATATAGGCTATGTATATGTGTATGTATTTGTAGGCCTATTATGTATATGTAGGGTGTGTATGTTTGATTCACATCAACTGACCGGTTTTTGAAATATCCTGTATAGACTGTTTGACTTGGTCCTCACACGCACACCCTGTAACAATTGTTAATGTAAAAACGACGCATAATGTAAAAAAAATAATTGGTTAACGCATAATGTAAAAAGGTTTGACGCTTGATGTAAAAAAATAACGCTTAATGTAAAAACCAACGCATATTGTAAAAAATGTTGCTAACGTATAATGTAAAAACATTTTCTAACGCATAATGTAAAAACCCATCAACGCATAATGTAAAAACTTGATGATTTGTGCTTATTGCACAAAAACCTCACTTTTCTATCCAAATACTTAGTTTTAACAAACAAAAACTTTTGGCTTTTTCCCCAAAAAGCAAACAACGTGGGTCTTTTTATCCATAAAAAGAAAACAATTTTCTAGCTGTTTGAACCTTTTTCGAAGGCCACACATCGTCACACACTCCCAGCATGGGGTCGAGGAAAATGTTTTCATCCTGTTTTTTATTTTGTAAATTCATTTGTGACTGAAGTGTAAATTTGGAGTGTAATTCAGAGTTAATATGGATTATTTAATGGATAATAAATAATAAATAAATAAAGTTGTTCAAATAAAAATGTTTTGATATATTTCTTTCTCATCGGATACACAGTTGAAGTTTGGTTTCCTCTGATTATCAGAAACATCATATTATTTAAATGGTCACTAGTATGTCTTGTGTAGTAGAATATATGAAACTTAAGGTTCAGATAGATGGTGTAGATAATATTTCGGTTTTTTTTAAACTTTAATACGATTCTTCAAAATATAATATGTACATGTAGTAACTGCAGAAAAATATTTAAAAAATAATTATACTTAAAAAAAAAAAAAAAAAAAAATTCAAAAAATACCAAACCAATACGCTGTGTAGAAATTACAGAAAAAAAATCAAAAATCAAAAAAATCAAAAATGTTTCCAAATATTTTGAAAAGAAAATTAAATTCATGAATTCCCAAGGAAATTTTTCCAAAAATCGCAAAAAAAATAAATAAATAAATAAATAAATAAATAAATAAATAAAATTTCAGAAAAAATAATAAATAAATAAATAAATAAATAAATAAATAATCAAAAGGAACCATCACTATGTCTAACCAAATTAATCCAAATTACCCAAATTAACCAATTGGGGTTTTTTTTTCTGTAATTAATACACAGCATATTGTTTGGCGGGGGTGGAGAGATTTTGTGGAATTTTGAAGAGAAATAAGTATGACCCATATCATTTATCCGAATGTCTAATATTCTCCTTTGTTTTTTCCACGTTACAAACGGTCTTCCGTAATATTGAAACCTGCGTTTATCCTAGTCTGACCTTAGTTTAAACTAGGTGTATAATAATGTCGTTGTCTTGGTTTTATACATCGATCATTATGACTTACGTGTTTCCATCGTGCTTTTCCCCGATGAATTTAGCTAGCGTCAATGGGCGTGGAGGTACATTTAGTAATTGTTTACAATTTGTCCAAGAAGAAGCTCTAAGATACAGGTGAACCGTTATGTCGCACTTACATCAACTGACAGGCAGGCAGGTATCATTAGTAGGTTAAAGTAACAGGCGTGAGGGAAGGGAGAAGACTTGTTTTTACATTATGCGTTAATAGATTTTTACATTGTGCGTTTAAAAATGTTTTTAATAAATTATGTGTCAAAAGTTTATACATTATGCGTTAGCAAATTTTTTTACATTGTGCGTTAATTTTTACATTATGCGTTATTTTTTTACATTAAGCGTCAAACCTTTTTACATTATGCGTTAACCACTTTTTTTTTTACATTCTGCGTCGTTTTTACATTATCGGTTGTTACACTCCCCACCATAGATTGACACTAAATATTAGGAGGCACATTCTTGATATTTGGCCTATGCTTCGGCTGATTATATAGCAGAACCTTTATGTTTTATCTTTAATTTATCCTTTACACAGGGCAAGTTTTCTGCAGCATAACACGTAGTAAGGTAACACCATATGAAAAAGGGACCAGGTTAGTTTTTTTTCAATTATCGCCCAATTTCGGTATTACATAAAACATTATAAACAACAGAATAATGAATTTCTTTAAAATTTTAATATATTGTACAAACATCAATATGGTTTCCGTGAAAAACACAGTGCAAAATTATCTTTAATTAATGTAAATAATAACTTACTTCGACGAGTGGAATATTTATAGATTTTACTAAGGTCTTTGACACCATTAACCACATTACTTTACTTTCTAAACTCAAACATTATGGCGTTAGAGGAAACCCATTGCTTTCGCTTTCAGATTATTTAAGTCAAAGTCCGTAATTTGTGTCTGTAACTGGAGTCACCCTGTGACCCGTGGTGTATACCACAAGGATCAACAATTGGTCCAACAATGTTCTTAATTTACATCGGATTTACTGAATTCATCTAAATATTTTGATTTCCGATTATTTGCAGATGATTCAAAATTATTGCATAATTTTCAAAAGAAGTAAGCACTATAAATCTGCCTTTAGTTAATTATCAGTTTAAGAAAATTATTGATTAGTGGGATGCAAACAAGGTAACAATAAACGTAAATAAAACTAATTTTATTAATTTTCATGGAAAAGGTAAACATATTTCTTTGTATGGTTGTTCATGTGTTAAACCGGACAATAAATGAGGTAGATGAGGTTTTTATTTTATGGATCTACCCTAGACAAGCACTTAACTTGGAAAGCACACCTTATAATGAAGTTAATCAAATTATTCGAAAGAAATCTGGAATATTATTTAAACTAAGAAGCTTTCGTACTAAATTATATTGTAATTTTATTATATAACGCATTTATACAACCCAATTTAAAATATGGTTTACAAGTCTAGTGTATACTAATACATATTTTTACAAATTTATACCCCATTTTAATTTCCCAGAAGAGTGTATACGTTCCATAACATTTTCTAGGTTTAGGGAACCATTATCTCCCATATATGCTCAACTAAGCCTTTGAGCTATTTTTAAACTCCATAAAAATAAGGTAAACTTATTTGTAATTTGATTTATATCATCTTTATTTTTCACCTAGTTTAAATGATTATTTTGAAACATTGGCTCTCTGTCAAAATACAAGATTTAAGTAGGCCCTATGGTAATAATTTCTACGTAAAGAAAATGAACAGTCACCGGCCAATTGACAGTGTCATTTGCTGGTTTAAAACCTTTTTATGTAATAGTTTTCTAGCTATTTCAAAATGTATGAAAAATCGAATAGTTTTTTTTTTCTGATATCTGACAGAAAACCGTAAGATGGCAAATTTCTTGAGCTTGACTAAAGTGTGTGTCTTGATATCAGTGACTGCAACTCAAGTCGGTTTTTCTCTCGGTCGTAAGTAGACCTATTTTTTTTATTCATTTATTTATTCATTTATTTTCTTTAATTCTTTATTAATTCTAAAAGGTTAAAAAATACAAAAACACATTGATATACAATTAGTATTAAAATGGGGCATATTTTACTTATTTGTGATTACTATTCCTGTCTTCCAACTGGTTCACTGTGTTTACATGCACAGGATATTCCTATTTAATCTACTTTTCCGTGTTTCAATGTAGATTTTTAAAGAAAAATTAAGATATTTAGTTTAAATTCTATTAGTTAACAATCAAATTATTACTAAAAAATATTTGAAATATTGTTATGTATCGTTGAGTTTTGATGTCACCTAGTTTTAAACTTTAAAATTCATCTTTGATATTTTACGGTACTTTTCCGCGCTTTCTATACTGGTTTCTTAGACGAAATGTAAGTTAGTAAATTCAATCAGATCTACAATAAGTGTTATGCATATCTTTTAATGTAGGACTGTCACTGAGTTTTCATATCATAATCTTGTGTTTTTAGTACGTTCGTAACAACTAAAATTGTATTTTCACTCGTATTAGGCCCTATTAGTAGTAATAGAGGAGGATTAATACTGAATTTTAGAAATGGCAGTGCTATATTTTTTTTAATAAATATTAGCTATCAATATTCCACAGGTGAGGTCATGTTTGCGGTAGATTTTAAAGGCATTTCTATTTCGGATATCGATCACTCTAATCCTTCTGTTCTTAATTTTACGGTAATTCGTTTCGACCCTACGTATGAGCCGAACTATCTTGTCTACAATCCACCTACTTCAACTTTCTATTACACGAGCAGTCTAAGCATTCTTAGATATTCTCTGAAAAACAAAAGTTTGGAAACATTCATTTCTGCAGGTAAATGTTATACTAGTCTAAATCTTGTCCAGTTTTTATCAAATTTTCTTTGACAAATAACTGTTATATGCCCATATATAGTCATGATGTGCCTATATATGGCCAAGATATGAGAAGTCATCATGACCATATTTAGGCATGCCACATGTTTTGTCAAACAAAATTTGAGTCCATACAAATTGACAAATAGAAACTGCTGTATGCCCATTGCCCATATACTCATGATGTGCCTATAATATGGTTAGTATGTCAACATGTCATCATGACAATATTTTAGACATATCAATAATGTATGAATATGTCAAGTACGATAATATATTTATATAGGCCTACATTAATTGTACCGGTATACATGTTGGACGAGACGTTTTGCTGTTATAAATTTAACAAAAAAAAGTGGCTGTTAAAATATGTTTGCTTCACTGGTAGTGGGCGTATGATGCATGGTATCATAACACACCTGGCTGGGACTAGCCAACTGTTTTTATAGATTATTTTGATTGTATATTTTAGACCAATAAATTTTATTTTTAAGGTTTAATGCCTTTGAAATGCTTAATTCAATTGTTGTTTGTCACTTATTATCCACAATGAACTTATTTCCTCTGGTTTGTCACTTGTACCCATAACGTCTCTATAATCAAGTAGGCCTAGGCATAATATGAATAAACTATAATATATTATATTTATCATTGAAAATGGGTCAAACATCTTTTCGATTACAGGAGCAGAAAACGGTTTTAAAGCAATGGATATTGACGTCACTGAACAGAGACTCTACTTTGGAGAATTTGTTAACAACGATGTCCGTATTGAGGTCATTAACTTAGATGGCACCGACAGAAAAACATTCATGTCTAATGTTATAGGTTTTATTCATGATATACAAATAGATGCAGTAAACGGGTAGGATACACATGTTGGTTTGTAAATACTAATATATAAGCCTATTATTTAATTTCTTAGGCAGCCTCTATCAAAAATTATCGCTTTCTCACACTGAATAAGCGCACGAGTATAAAATGAAGATATGTAGGGTTTTTTATATAACTTTTGCGCATGAATTGTTTGCCTGTTTCCTCACATTGTTGAATCATATGTCCAAATAAAAATATATTTTTGTACTTTGGTCTGGTGGCGCTAGCAGAGGCCACCTTGACATTCCCCCTACTCTTTCGTTGGACAGACTTAGACGTAAAAATAAAATGAAATTGTGCCGATCGAAAATGCGCAATCAAAGACGTCGTTCCATAGTTTATCACTGCTTCCACCTTTTTCAGACCACCATTTTTGACCGCCTCTGATTTCTTATTTGTGCATTTTATTATCTTTATTTATATATTTATTTAATTTATTCAATCCTCAACCAACAGCGATAGAAACTTACATAAACAGGTTGGAGAAAATACATACACAAAGAAACAAAACATATGGTACAAATTTACATTAACAATGTACTACTAGGCCTATATCAGTCATGAGATAAAGAATGATAATATTAATTCCACGTTTTAATTCCTTAATTTGTTTCTATTTAAAAATTTGATAAAAAAAAATTAATCCCCTGTTAATTTTCAGACCCTTAAATATTACTTTTTCTGCATTCTTTTGCACAGATCCTTAAACTCAATCTGTTTCTGGTTGGAAGCTTTAATTATTTTGATCTTTTAAAGGGGTTATTCAAAATTGCATTTGAATTTTTAAGGTATTTTTTCCTGTTTCCTGAACGTCTAAACTGCGGGGTGCCTCAAGGTTCCATTTTAGTGCCCATCATTTTCTTATTATACATCCGTCCTCTTGGGCATGTCATTTCGAAACACGCATGCATATATCACATGTATGCAGATGACACCCAACTGTACATAGCATTTAAGCCAGAGTCACTTGACGATGCAATCTGATCTATTGAAGGATGTTCAAATGATGTCAAGTCATGGTTGGCACTGAACATGCTATGTTTTAACACTAGTAAAACGGAAGCATTGAATATCCACTGGCGCTATCGCAAAATCTTACCGAATGCATTCTGCATTGATTGTTCCATATGTTTCTGTTTGTAATATTGGCGTTACATTTGACTCTAAAATGATAATAATTAAATTGATTGGAAAAACTTTAAAATTTGGTTTTAAAAAAAAGTTTTATGTATATATACTATTATTTTGAGAATCTTAAGATTTTTAAAGCAATCTTGGGATATTTTAAAATGAATCTTGAGAATTTTTATTTTTCCCAGTGGTCACACTGGATACCGCAGTTTGGCCGTCTCGATGGATTGTCCCGCTTTTCGGGGTCGTGTCCCGCTGTCCCACCCAAACCCTGAATGGTCCCACTTTTCAACTTTTATAAATAAAAATAATCACGATAATACCAAGACTAAACTCTTAAATATATGGCCCTCACAGACGACGAGCCGTGTTAATATA